TGCTTATTTTTATTTACATTACTTTGATCTGTACTCTTGCAGAGGAACAGCAGAGGGAAAGCAAATGATACGTTTTTTCACAGAAGTAACTAATTTACGGAAAGCAAATGTTCTGTTCCACAGAAGGCTCCATCTGCCTGCCTAACCCAGCCACGTTTCTGAGGTTAAATGATGCAAAGATAAAAAACTGACTTTGTGAAACAAATGTAAACAGCAACCCAGATGCTCTCATTCATATTCTGAAATTATTGCCATCAGTTCTGTGACCAACACATTTCACAGTTTGTGAATTTGCATCATAAATTAGGGCAGTAAGAGAGAACTAAGTATAGTCCTATAAAACTTTGAAAGGGTTTGCTTTATTTATATTCCAGTTGGGGACCCTACCAGAGCTCCAAAGTTTATGAAGTATTGGAATCCAGTAGAATCTAGTCCCCAGATCTTTCATTTCATATTTCTGCTTGCCTGGATGATAACTATATATTTGCACTGCTTCACAAGTTCTCATTCAATGTAAAGAACTTTGCCTTTCTTCCAAGCAGAACTAGGGCCATCAAGGTGCAAAAAATTGTGCAAACTTAACACAAACCAAGATTGTGTCTCCAGGGAAGTGGAATCACCTTTCCTTCTCAAGGCTTTGTGTATTCCTCTTGGCTGTCACATGAGAGCAAAGTAATAAATGAATCTAGAAAATAAAAGTTTCTAAGGTCACCAACTATACATAATACCTAAGAGCTAAATTAATAAGCAGATTCCCTTTGAGGGGAGGTTGTCCTTCTAGGTGAAAAGTACTCACAAGACATGGGAAGGAGAACCTTGTTGCTCCATAAACTTTATTCCCTAGCACCTATCTTGTGTACTAAGTAATATGCAACACCCTTCACTTTCCAGAAGCCAACATTTTCATTTATCCTACATTCACTCCATAGAACACTTTTTTCTAGGAAAGGTTATATTTAATGATATTAAACTGTATTTAAAATATTTGTGACATCTGCCAAATTAATTAAAAAAATTCATTAGGGTCAGTGTAACTGTAATAAATACGAAATTAATAGCAAGGGCTTTCTTTTAATGTTATGTTAGAATAACATTTGGAATCTGTCCGAATATGACAAAATCCAGGGAACTGCCTACAGCCACCATTTGTACTTAACTTCTTTGTGCCTACATAAGGAAGGTGCTAAATAACCTGTATTTTTTTATTCATGTGCTGGAGTGGAGGAAGTGGTCTCGGGATTCAATTTGGGGTTCTCAGTCAGGCAGTTCAGCTTCATTTGGCTTACAGCTCTCCTTGAGCATGGTACTAACTATTTTGACCCCTCTTTGTAAATTCTGGAAAACACGTAATTCTTCCCACAGCTGTTGTGAGGCACTGTTGTCATCTGTTAATGGCTGGAAAGGGATATACCATGGCAAAATACTCTTGCTTTCTGTACTGCTGGCAGTGCTACTGGGGCATACTGGATCAAAGTTTTAAATTTAAACCCAACCTTCTGGAGTTCACTTCTTTCCTTTTCTGCATTCTCTATCTTCCCCTCATGACACTGTGTCTTAGAAATATACCTTCTCTTGGTTCAGAGAAAAAGACAGGACAAAATTTGGACCTCTGCAACAGTCAGACATTTTCCTTTCAATGAATTTCTGTATGTGCAAATGAAAATACAAAAAGCCAGAGACAAATTAAATCATACCAAATCTGGGATAGTTTTGCAATTTGCCAAGTCAATTACTTAATCTGAAAAGCTCCACTGCACAGTTTTAATTTGGAATGTTTGTGCTGAGTACTGCTCATAGCTCAGTATTTTGAACACAACATACCAGTGACTTCAAGGACATATGACTGAGTCCTCCATCTTTCAGCTAAACTGAAAACAGAGAGACAGGTAAAATCCTTTTTTTTCCAAATTAACATGTGACTCTTTTCCCAGTTATACAGAAGAAGCCATTCTCACAAGGCTTTTAAGAGCATCTTCAAATTGCATTTTTGTACTTACATCTGAGTGACAAGAAAGATGAATCATGTCTCAGAATTTATTCAGCATTGCTAATTAAACTCATTCCTTGAGGCCTGGGAAGCACTAAACCACTGGAGTGAAACAGTGAAAATTACTGATTTGAATAGAAGAATCGAGCTCTTTGGAAAAGAAAACATTACCCATCGGTGGAGCTTACAAAATAGCCCCTTAAAGAAACTAAATAAGATTAATGAAGGTGAAGTTAAGAAAAACAACAGCTTTTAAAAGTCCTCATGTCTTATTTTCTACAGAGCACAACATAAAAAAGACTCAGTGCCACTAAAGACCTTTACTATGCATATATACATTTAACACAGAAAACAGGCAACCAGTTTATAGGCCTCTCCTTACCATACTGCACAGAGAAAACAAACATTTTCTCACCAAAAATATTTTTAAAGAACTTTAAAGAGAAATTAACCTTCAAGTATTTCCAAGTACTTGGGTCCAAATTCTGTCCCTTTAAATTTTGTCATACTTCGCTTAAAAATTAAAAACTTACAAGCATAAAATTGTTAACTGAGATGTTTCAGTGCTACCATTAATGTTGAAGCTCAGTGAAGGAACTATGCATCCTTCCCAAGCACCTGCTGTAGAGCCTGGGGACCAGTCCTCGAGAGCTCTGCTCCTTCACTTCTCAACAAATGAAGCACAGATAGGACAATAATAATAGCATCACCTCTCAGGATAATGTGGAGCATGAGTGGCTATTGCATCTGAAAGTCCACGCTAAAGATAGCAGAGAGGAAGGCTTCAAAATCATGTCACTGATGAAATGCTGGATTTAATTCAAGGGTTACTTTCCTGATGGGAATATTACAGGGATGACAAGACGCTGCCTCTTTAAAAAGCAAGGTGATGCCAATCAGTTGGTCAGGTGTATCTCCTGTGTATACAAGGCCAGGACTTCCAGTAACAGCAGCTAAGCTTGGACCTGGAGGGACCAAGGAACTGCAAAACAAGAGCTGTTACAGAAGCCTCTCTCAGATTGCCATGACACTCCACTGCTGAGTGCCATTCAAAACCTAGCACATGCCTCTAGCACTTGTGGTCTAACATTCCAGAGCAATGATTTTCTAGGGCAACACTGGGATTCCAAAATACCCAGCTCCTCCTTGTAAGTTGGTCATAAGAGATTGAGAAGATTGTGATTATTCAGCACAGTGCCACTCTGTGACCCCTGGTGTCACTCCCAAATTCTGCTGGGACATTCATGCAAATGTGTATCCCGTAGATGTCAGAAAGCAGCTCTGAGGAAACCTGAATCACACTGATGAGTATGGAATTGAACCACCAGAAGTCTTACAGAATAAAGAACGAATACATAAATGTCTGTAGCTTATACACACCTATTACAAACCACATTCCAGGACTTTACAACTTGTCTGTAGACATCTGCTTCAGGGAAGATGTGATAAAAATCCCAGTCTTCTATTGCATTCTTTTAAGAGAACGGGGAAAAAGAACTGTGTGATTTTTTTAGAGTAGTAAACAGATGTTCTTGGTGATTTGATCCAGTTGGCTGGATTGTTCTGGGTTTTATAATGCTATACTGGGCTACAGTGGTCTGAGACACTGTCCATCTAGCAAGCATTTGCACCTTGCATAGCAGCTCCAAAACCAGAGATGCAACAGCAAACGTGGTGCTTAAAACCTACCCTCAGAGCAAAATGTAACCTGCTTTTGGTCAAGGGTAGTAGCTGGTTACTGGTGTCACTCTTTTGGACAAATCCATCGAATCTGTGATTGAACCATGCTCTGGTAAATTTTTATGATGTTTCTCCTATCTGGAACCCTCAGTAACAGCAAAGCCTCCCTCCAGTTACCACTGTTGGACTCCAGCTGTTCTGCATATACAGGCATCTAGTCTTTTCACTGTAGCATACATGAATCTGTACACTCAGAAGCCTATTATTTGAAACAACTCATCTCTAAGAAGAAAAAAATGGCTTTTTAGAAAAAGGTATCGAGCTTACCAACAGGGCTCAGCTTTTAGACAAAACCACACTGATATATGAAACCACAATACAAAACCCATCACTTTCATGACAAGAATATTATAGCAATAAAAGTGCATCAGATCTTGAAATCCTGCACTGTTTGGTGATCTGCTCCAGTGAGGTTCCACAGAGATCCGTTACCTCTAGAGGCTATGGTCTGGATCGAGCAGCAAAAACACAGAAATGTGATCTCTGTCAGCCTTCACATGACACTTACAAAACTAACACACACTGCAACATAACTACTTTTCTTCAAAGACATCAGATGACTGAACATGCACAGATATATAATTACCTTTTATCAGATAGTTTTCTTAGTGATTTGGAAAAGGGGGAGACCAAATGTAAAACTCCACCAATCCACACAAGGCATCTGATACAGAATCCAGCCAAATGCTAACAGGAGTTAAAACAAGGAGGTTGTAGCAAAGTGGAGGTTAGTCTCTCTTCTCACAAGTAACAAGCAATAAGACAAGAGAAAACGGCCTTAAGTTTTGCCAGGCAAGGTTTAAACTGGATACTAGGAACAATTTCTACACTGACAGGGTTGTCAAGCACTGGAACAGGTTACCCAGGGAAGTGGTGGAGTCACCATTCCTGGAGGTACTTAAAAGATGTAGATGTAGAGGTTAGGGTCATGGTTTAGTGGTGGACTAGGTTAACAGCTGGACTTGATGGTCTCAAAGGTCTTTTCCAACTTAAAACAATTCCGTGATTCACATGGTTCCCTGAAGACATTTCCCAGGCAAGAAGGACAACAGGCTATAGTAAACTTAAAAACCCCGAAAAGATTAACATGAGTTATGACTAAGTTATAGAAGCAAGATAGAGCTTTCCAAAAACTGAGATTTATCATAAAAGTTGACTATGGAAAAGAAAGAAAAAATTACAATTCTACATTATTTATTTGAAATTCGTAGCTCATACATCATTATGTACTGTAACTTGAAATAAAAAGAAGTTAAATTACAAAAACCAGCGGTGCATTTAAACAGTTAAGAAGTTTCTGAACTGTTCTCTTCCCTACAGAAAGATGTTCTCAGGTTGCAGCTACCCTGAAAAAAAGTCTTCCAGCATCTGAATACTTTTAAAGAAAGTATTCCTAACCCAGCAGCACATTAGTATGTCCTTGAGGACAGAGCAAGACAAATACATATCACATATCACTGTGCTCTTAGAATTAAACAGTAAGGGAAAATAACAATGGCAGTAAGTCCTAGTGAGAGGAATACTTAAGCAGTGGAAAGCTACAGTGTTTTAGAGATACCTCTACTCTGAGAGTTTTATACAAGAGTAACATGCTGTACTGCTGGTACCTTAGAGAGGGATATACCCTTCAAAACCTTTTCTTCAGGACAACTTATGGGACCTTTTCTCAAAAAGAGGGTCAGAACCACAACCAAATGATTAGAAGTCTGAAAGATTTCTAGATGGGGAGAGACGGTCATGAAAGGGACCACAGAGCTTAGAGAATTGTTGAGTAAGAGGGTATTCAGCAAATGGAAGTTAAATAATGAAAGATACAGAGAAAACAGGCACTCTGTATTTAGTCTGTATTATAACTGACTTTTAATGAAACTAAAGTGTAACAGCACATAATTAACTAGTGGAACCCCTGGCTTTTATACGGTTGGAAGACGAATCTAGAATACTGTGAAAACCAGCTTCCCAGTTGTTCTGGAATAGCTATTTCTCAATACTTCTCACAAAACATCTTTCACTCTTTAATAAAATTGTAATTGAAAACACTATAAAAGTGGTGTGATTCCATGGATCATCTACAGATATCTTACCATTATGATTTGGCAATCAATGACAGATTATAAAAACATTAAATGTTTTATTAGAGAAGGGAATTATGCTTACATTTCATGGCATGTCAAACAGTGGCTGAGAATAGACGAGGAAGAAACTTCCCGCTTATTTCCCCTGCCTTCCCTGGACAACGTGCTCCGACAGCTTGTCCTGGAGTTCTATCTGTCATCCTCCAGATCACCTCCTGACAGCCAGATCAGATCAGATGCATCATGCCAAACTCCGTGACACATTATGACACTCCTATGTGACCATGCTAATGCACTTGCAAAACTGCATGCACTTACAGAACACATTAATGAGGTTTTCCTTAGAGAATTCCTCTTCAAATTTAAGATTACACACACTGCTTACAGTGTAGAAGGTCACCAGAATGGAATTTAACTATCTTAGCCATTTGAAAAACATTGCAATTTCTTGGACATTTAACAAGGTTTCCAAAGATTTTATATGGGTCAAAGGGAGGGAAAGTGCTTCTAAGATACTTTTTAAGATAACACTTGCATTCCGCTTAGAATGGAAACTGCCTTTCTGACACCTAAAGCTGCCGAGTTCGTGATCTGCTTTTCTTCAGGTAGAGAATCCATTAAGTGATGAACACCTTCTCAAAGTGGGTTATGTGCTTTTTACACTTTATGCACATGGCCTCAGGTACTTCCAGCTGCTTTGGATGCTTTTGATGTGTGATTCATTCATGGGCCCTTGACTTCAAGAACAGCAGAGTACAGTACTGAGAGGTAAAGGCAAAGCACACTGAACTCTCATTACTCAGTTTGTGGATCTGGGGGAATTATTCTGGCATCTGGGGGAGTTTTTGCAGAATTCCGTGATTTTTTTTTTCAAGGTGCTTTGAGGAGCACATAGAACAAAAGCCCTCAAATTTTGAGGAAGTACTGTTCTGAGATTCATTTAAAACAAATTTAAAATCCTGAACTTCCTATCTTACCTGCTCTAGCAGCTACATTTTCTCTAAGGTCATCACCAGATGACTAGAAATTTTTGTTTACCTTTCAGTATACTCAAACAAGATAGATTCTGTTTCAGGAAGATGGTGGGCTTGTTATGGGTAAGTGCTCATTGAAGATGCTTATATTTTCTCAGTAGGAAAGACTTTCCAGGGTGTTTGGTGGTGTCATAAGAGAATGTTTGATAGGAAAAAATACATGTTCAGGTAGCATATATTCTTTGAGTGAAAGTCTAACTTCTCAGTTACAAAGCAAGCACAGAACATTCTTTAACTTTGTATTTCATCACTGAATCAAAGATAGTTTTAAAAGATAATTCCTAAGTAAACTGAAAAAAGGTGAACTGAACTGCCTAAAAACCAGTGCAAGAATGATACCTTTTTTCAAAATTAACTCCAGAGCAAAAGGAAAAAAATGGTCCTCTTAAAACCCCGAGCATCAAGTTTTTTCTCTGAAGTTCAAACTAACTTCCTCGTACGTCCTTCTTCTTATGAAATTCATACTTAGTAAACCATATAAATTTCTTTGTGTCTGTTTTCAGTGGAGACCTAGAAAGACCAAGCTCATTGGCTTTGTGCAGCCACAAAGGGAGACCACACCATTTACCAGAACAGAAATAATTTTTCCTTATTATAGTGCAGAATGCTGGTTGTTGTACTGGTTGCCATTACTAGATGAGAAATAAACTCATTTCTTATATTATTCCTTCCCCAAACCGCTGCACTGTAGTTCTGCAATACCCAAGCATAACTAAACAATATTGGTTTTACGTATCTTAATTGTCCAGTTGGTTGAAGAGCTTGGTGACTCCTAGAGAAAGTGTGGCAATGGTAAGGAAAGACCAAATGATAAAAAAATTTCTGTAATTAAGATGGTGTTTCATGGAGTGTGTGACAGAAATCACACAAAAAAATCATTCCACAGAAATGTTAAAAACCTTTGAGATATAAATAAGTCATTTAGGCACAGTTTTATGTGAACTTGAATATGATAGATGTGATTTTATATATATATATATATATATATCCCAGAAAATCTGTAGATAATGTACAGAAATGATAACTATCACTGGATAAAAACCACTTCAGACTAATGAAAAAATATGAACAAATCCTGAACCGCCCAAGAAAGGGTACACAGCTCTGACAGATCCCTTAGTACAGATGGTGAGAGTAAAACATATCCACAGGATAATCACATCCTCACCAAAATTGAAAACGTATGTGAGAGTCATGGTGGTCTTGCAAAAATATAGACTCATAAACGATTCCTTGATTTGGTGTCATCATTCATTTCTTTCATTTGAGGAATCAGTTTTAGTAGACCATACAAAGATTGATGGCTTTTTCATAAAAGGATATTTTATGAAATACTGAAATGTAGCATATTTCTACCTGATAAATGCAGAGACCTGTAAACTTTGAACCCACACTGGCCTTTGTTGCTCATGACCCTGTTTAAGTGATTTATTTTCTTTTAACAACTGCAGTCTGCAGGAGGTAGAATATACTGTGTAGATGTTTAATTCTGTTGAAAATTGAACAGTTTAAACAGAATGGCTGACATTAGAAGACCCATTACTGAAAAGTCATATTATCTGCATTTCAGTATCCCTTTTAGGGGCAATATTTATGGTTAGAGAAAACACATCATTTATAAAAACAGCCTTGTAGGCTGCTGCAGAGCAATGGAGGAGATGGCATCCTTGGCCCCACATCAAGGTGTCTGGAGGATGGGATCAAAGCTAGAGACTCTGGAAACCTGGCATCTGTAAAGGTATAAAACCAGGAAACTTGCCCGTAGCCTAGATGAACATCTCGAGGGAGCTGAACACTCCCCACCCTTGTGAAACATTTGGATTTTAAAGATTTAGCAAATTCCAAGGAAATAATACTCTGCTAGAATTTGTCTGCCATCTCTCAATACAATGGCAGTTTTATCTTTCAGTTAAATGAATTTCAGTCTTTTTACCCTTCCCTTCACTGCTTTTTATCTGTATTTTGCCAACGTGCAACAAAGTCCAAAGCTTCATAAACATCCTTCCTACTCCTTGGTATGAATGTTCACAGAAGTCAAGCAGATCAGTCCTCTTCATGTGTAGGGAAACATCACCTCAAATCCAAAATATTTTGCATACAGAGTCCAACCTTATTTCATAACAGCGGGGACTTCTGTCAGGTTGTTTCCCCAGCAGCATGCCACACTACTGCTCTGCAAATCTTTAGATGACTGACCTACAAAATCTTAGCAGGATTTAATATGTGTCAGTGCATTATTGAACAGTGCCCAAGACTCCATCTTATAAAATTAAATTGATATGATCAGATAAATTAATAATGCTTTTTTAAATTCTGTTTTGAAGTTATTCTTTCATGAAACAAGCTTCTTAGGTGAAGCAAATTCTGTGTTTGTGAAACATCTCATGAATATATGGTGCTGTAATAAAAATAATAAATGTTTAAAGCTCCCCCACTTTCCTTTACTCTTAGTTACTAGAAATAAATCTTATGAAGCAGATAAAAGTATTACAATTAATCCCTCCTCAATAGAGACAGTATGCACTACTCTTTTCAATACAAGAGAAACTGGCTCTGACTAGAGTGGCAACAACTGGCAAATTGATTTTATAATTTTGATTTAGTAAATATTAGGAAATAGACTTTTTTAATAACAACTCCATTTAAGTATTCATTAAAATGGAATTAGGACAAGCAGGGCCAGATTCTGATATCCGTATTCTTGTCAGACAGCATTTTATTACAGAAAAGTCTTACTGACATGAGTGGGATTACTTGTAAAAGACCATTCTGCATGAGTAAGAACACAGAGCTAGATCTTACCAGGGTACAGAGGACCACTGAGGTTTTAGGTGCCCCTCCCCAATCCCAAAGTACCCCACACACCCTTCAGCAATGGCTGGAGCCATATGTAATTATATGGCTGAGGCACCTCATTTATGCTGGTACACATCAACTCACTGATCTCACCAACACAAACTCGGACTCACCTTGTCCCTGACCCAGGTATATTGAACATGAAACATATAACTTTATCTTCATGAAATAAATAATTCCCAAAAGCTGGTTACTTAGCTTTAGACCTTATGCTAGATATTTATCTTCATAGCTGTTTCAGTTTGAGTAAGTTTGACCTGAAGAATGCATAGCACATGTTGCCATAAAAAAAGCACTATGAAGGTGAATTTTGATTTATAAGAAAAATCACTCAGAAAGAAAAAAAAATAGTGGGCTACAGTAATGGATCTTATTAAAGGCTCAAGATGGTATACTCTGTTCCTCTAGATTACATAGCAGAAGGGAAGACCATCTTGCATTTTTGTTTTCTACACTCCTGATTTAAATGTATACATAAAGAAATTACAGTAAACTCTTGTGATGGCACCGGGTAAAAAGAACTGGCTTAGTTATAAATACTATTGATAGTCAGAAAAAGTATATGTATTTTTCCAGACACAATCCCAAATGTCTCTCAAGCTTTGAGTTCTAGCACTTGTACTATCTTTCTTTATTCAGTAATCTCTGTAACAAGCAAGGGAGGAGCTGGGAAATGTGACCATTATGTAGAAAGCAGTAATGTATGAGCAAATGGTGAATACCCTAATTTATCTTTTATTAAAAATCATTTGGCAACTGATTTTGGAAAATAATCTTTAGCATATACTCTGTAATTTTATATTTTCATTATATACACAGGTCATATGTGGAATACACTTCTACTACTTGATCGGGTGAACACAGAATCGGTACTGACAGCAAATACTTCACAGTCTATTTGGTGTACATAGAGCCCTTCTTCCTCTAAAAGGCTGCTGTTTCTGAAGAACACCTTGGCAGAAAACACATTTGCCAATAGAAAACATGGTCAAAGACAATTTGCTTAATTCTATTTTAAAATCTAAAAAAAGGTCTATTTTTGTTTGTGAGTATAATTAGTAAACAGACTACTTACCATTGTTTTACTTTGGTTTAAAAAATAGCCAACACTGAAGGATTCTATTATATAGTTCTCAAAGGTCAGACTTGAAAGCTTAAACTTCAGGTTGTACTGAGATAAAGGCACTGTGCTTTGCAAAGTTATGCTATTATCCCTGGTTATAATCTTCACTGACTTCAGAAATAATTGCTTTCCTTAAACAAAAAGGAAGTCTGATTCTAATTTGCTATCTAGATCTACATTCTTATATTCTTTTTATAGATTTTTGAACAAGTTATCACTGGAAATCTTCCTTCACTCAAACATAAGTGAAAGTTTTATCTTACTTCAGACATCACCAAAATAATTTATGACTAAGGAAACAAAACCTTTTGTCTCACAATATATTTCTTTGCGACAGCTGTGGTATTTCACTGAAAGCACAAAAGCTGTGATGGTCTGGACTGCAATCAACCATTTTTAATAGGAAATTTTTACGGACTTTTAATAAGATCTCCTAACGTAATTTATGGGGAGAGGTTTTGAAGTGAAGAGGCATTGTTTGGCAAAGTGTTCTTCCTCTAATCTCAGGAAATTTAAATAATCGAGTGCTCATTTCCTCTAAACTTAAGATTTCTCCTAAAAAATGGTTAAGAATAACACCTGCTACATTAGCAGCAAAATAAGTGCATTTAGAGTCCAAACAAAATAGATTTCTAAAGGTTTTTCAAAGGCAAAATTAATCATGGCAGAACCAAATATTGCTAATAATGACACAATATTGAATTCTACTTCTTAAACTCAGGATATTTAACAAATGCGTTGAATGAAGAGAGCATGCTGGTCAGGATAAATGCAGGTATTTTGGGGGGAGAATTGGAGTAACTGGGCAAACGCAGAGAATTTACAGTTTGTAAGAAAAGCAGATAAGCACCTGAAAGTTACTGTACTTACTGAAGTTATCCAGAGTTCCTCCAACTACAGAGCTTGGCTGGAGGAATAAGGACAACAGGCTTCCTCCTGAGATCCCTGATATGTCTTCCGAGAAGAGACTTTCCCTTTAGTGTCAGCCAGAACTAGTGAAAAACCAGAAACATAAGTAGGAAGCACATTTTTATACATCGATAAAGCTAAGTAAAGCTCCTGAATCTGAAATAGATTTAGTTTGGCTCATTGGGGTTTTGACTGAAGTTCTGAATTATTTTTTAACCTGAAGAACTTATTGTCCGTAATTCTGTTTTAAAGTAAAAGCTAACTTAATTGTGTTCCCCCAGACTAGGTCTGAACTTCTCTCCCAAGGGACAGAAAAAGAGAGGGGAAAATCTGTAAAGGAAGGATTTATGGACGGCTCAGGTAGGGCTACACTACCCGGCATTCATTCAGGTCACCGTGTGCCCAAGACCTCAAGAGGGCAGTCAGCACAAAACGTACTACAGTACAGGAATGAAGAGGTCTACACCTGTCATCAACCAGTTTTCAGTTATCCTTACCCAGTTCTCCAGAGTCACCTCATCTTTCATCTCATCAATACAGATACCGAGGTGTAAAAAAAATAAAAGAATTAAGAAACGCTGAAAAATAATTATATGATCATAAATTCTGTACTTCGTTTCTATATTGAGAATCTGTTTCATCAGTGCTTTTAATAAAAAGTGGTCAGTTTCTAGAGCCAACTCTAAATCCTTTACTTTCAAAAGCTGTCTGGGGATTTCAAAGAGCTACTGCCTCCATAAAGACTGCTTTTAAAGATGTGCCACCTGGATAACTTTGTTCTCTTCAGTCACAATGCTCCAAATACACAGGACAGAATGCCACTTCTGCAGCCTCCACCTCTCTCTTCCTCTCCCTCTGGTTTGCCTACAGAATCAAAACAAAACAGTTTACAGTGTGTGCCAGCCAAAATACATCTCTTTCTTTCAGCAGCTGAGACTTGAATGTTACTTTCTCCATGTGTGTACATACAAACATACACACACAGTCCCACACGCCTCAGCCATTTGTGAAACTGCAAGTGACCTCCTTCGGGGTTCCTTCTGTTGCCTGTCCCTGAGGCATTGCTCCACCCCAGCCTCCAGGGCAGTGCCTGGCTGAGGCTGAGGCTCCCCAGCCCTACTGCACCCACCCGGGCAGCCCCCTCTGGAGCTTTAACCCCATCCACGCCCCGTTTCTGACCCGTCTTCACAAGCTGCAGACAGGGCTATAAACAACTGCCTCCTTTCCACAGAAATGTCATCATTCCAATAAAACTGAAACCCATTCTTCCACTACATCCTCTTTACATTGGTAGGTTCACAAAACACATACTGCCCCCTTTATATTCAAAGTGGACTTCCTGATGCACAAGTTCAGATCCCAGCTATCATCTATCATCTCAATTCATCTGGGACAAATAAAGTATCATGCAACGTACCATATGTGGATATTTCAGCAGAGCTCTTTAGAGTCATGTCCTGTCTACCCAGCATGATCAATGGTTATTTTATTTTTTATATTTAGCATAATACATGACAAACTTCCATCTGGGTGCACTACCTAAACAAAAGCAGGCAGTGAGGTTGGGAGTCAATTCCTGATGCAACTTGTGTTATTTATTCATTTATATACCCTGGGATACCTGAGACATCTGCATCAGGCATCTCAGGCACAGTGTGGCATTTATAGGAGACTCATGGCACCCTGCAGCCATGCACAATATCCCAGAACATAAATAGTACTGGGCACCTGAATTGTCTCCCAAAGATCTGTGCAAATCAAAGGGATGATATAGCCCTATGCCCTCAGCATGTTGGATGCCAAGTTACCTTTCTTCTCACCAGAATGTATTAAGCAGTCCTAGATGAAAGTCATCTGCACGTTAAAAAGGCTTAGACACTCATTCTCTGAAAATCAGAACCATTTCCAGATTAGGCACACAAAAGAGAAATCCATCCCTATATCCATCTATACCTTCTAGAATGCTGGCCTACAAAATAAATGTAAAACTATCAATCAGGCAGTACTAACATATTAAAAACACTTTTAGTGAAAAGAATGCACCAGTTAAATAGGGATTTTATTTAAAAAATACTGCCCAAGCTCAAATAAATTCATTAGCCAGGATTTGGATGATAGAAAAATTAAGAGTTGAACCATTATTCAGAAGTAATACAAGCATGTAGATGATCAAAACTAATTTGAGTCATGAACTTTATGAAAGACAGTGTGTGGCTTCATTGGGTTTGTTGTGCCCAGTGCTCTGGAAACCCATGAGCAGGCACCTTCCCTGCTCTGGCTCTCAGACTCCATAATTAAGTCTAGTCACTACTTCATCAGGTTTGTAGGTGAGAAAAAAACAGAAAAAGGATGCTTGTGCACAGCATTCTTACTGACTTAAAAAAGTTAGGTAAGTTTTTAAGAGATACTTGTATTTGTCTCTGCAAACTATGGTGGGTGTAATGACAGTAAGGTGATGTGACTAATAATTAATTCAACCCTTATTGATAAAAGGTGGAAACTGCTGGTGCTCCCAATATCTTCTACATGTCTTATATAAAACCAACATTAGAAACAGTTCCCAAAACATTTGGTGATCCAAAACAAAAGCAGGTGATAGAATCATGCTATGTGTGTTAGATGTGATACAAATGTGTAAAACTCAGCACACAGAGCCAAAAAATGCAAAGGCTGTACTACAAGCTCACCATATTCCCCCAAACCTCAGGCTGGGTCTTTGATTCCTGCAACCCTAACCCTAATCCAGTAACTCCACAGCAGAATTCAGTTTTTTTGGCTTTTGCAGGAGGGGTGGCACTCCCACTCCCTGGCCAGTGGAGCTGAATCCAGCAAGACTTGTTTTCCTGAGGAATTAAGAATTTCCACAGGAAATTTCCAACACAACAAAAGTAGTGTCTGCTGGGTTTTAAGCACAGCAGCTGTCTGGAGTGGCATCCTTTAGTCTAGCCATCCCTTGAGTTCGTTATCAATTGCTAGTTTTTCCTGGTTTCCTGCCAATATATTGGCAAACCTCTTTGAAAAATCCAAGGCTGCCATTAACATTCAACCAGTCTCTGGTTTGTGTAAAAGATTTCTAAACATAAACCACTGAGAACACCAAATACCACCATTAAGCCCCCTTTTTATTTATGTTTCCACATTTATTCCTAATATCTCCTTTGCAAAATTGGGGCTAAATGAGTGTTTTGCAGGCAGCAAAGTAAGGCACATTTTGCTAACCGGTGTCAACAGTAGGAAGGCACTCAGTGGCATGATCAGTAAGTCAGTAACTTTTCTGATGTTGCAGATTATTTGTTTAAACTCATGACGCACAGAACACCATCTCCAGGCCCTGTGTATCTCATGTAATTATTTCCTCTCAGGGACTTGACTCCAAGGCCATCCACAAAGCCTTCTCTCAAAACCCTGCAGCTCCTATTAAATGAGCTCTTATTAAATAATTAATTATTCCGAAAATAATTAACCCAAATAGTTGTGAACCTGCATAAGTGTACTCTAAATTTCTGTATCCACTGAACACTTAGCATAAGTCACAGGGAAGATTTCTTGCAGTTTTCTTTTTCCCAGCTTTCATTTAGCCTTTGAAATGTCAGGAAAAGTCAAGCTATGTTCCTGCTGCTCTGCCAGAGCTGTTGAATAGATTTCATACTCTTTAGGTGGAAAAGCATGCAATACACTGGTAACACCAAGTCACAGTTCATTACTTTCAGTTGGAGTATGAGCTCAGGTGGCAAGACAAAATTAAGCAACAGCTTACTTGTGTCTGGTGAGGAACTCTTGCCCTTTCTATGACCACATTTCACTCTCAACATACCAAAGCTGAGTCTATTATTTAAACTTTTCCAGAAAAAAAGACTATGTAAGAACTCAGCCTGGTTGGTTGTTTTTTGGGTTGTTTGTTGGATTTTTTTGTTTTGTTTTGTTTTTTCCGGAGGCTGGAGGGGAAATTAAACTTTAGACGGAAAGGGAAAAGAAACGTTTTTCTTTCCACGTGGGATCAGTGGAACACCAGCAGCACGCAGGCACAAGCACCCATGAGGATACCTAGCTGAAGGCGGCCAGCTACTCCCTTCTGCGCCGCACAGGAGCGCTGAAGCGGCGCTGCCCGCTGCCACGAGCACACCATGAGGTGGACTCCAGGCACAGCTCCGCGGCGAGGCCCCCAGGGGACCGGACAGTCCCGTGCTGAGCCAGGCACGGCCAGCGGTCAGCCGCTCGCACCTCCCGCCAGTCACCTCACAGCCAACGGCCGAAGCCGGCCCCGACCAGCTGCGCGCGACGGGCGGGGCGGAGCTCGAGAGACCTGCTCCCAGAGGCGGAGAAGGGGAAGCGGAAGTGGCGGGCTCGCGGCACCGGAAGTGGCGGTGCCTTTCCGGTGCGGGCGGCGTGCTCAGGCCGGCCGCGGCAGTCTCTGCAGCCATGAGCGTCCCGGCCTTTATCGACATCACGGAGGAGGATCAGGTCGAGGAGCGGAGAGGCTGGGGCGGGGAAGCGGGTCTGGGCTGCGGCGGCCTGCGCGGGGCGGGAGGAGCGGGCCCCGGGTCCTGGGCCCGACAGATACGTGTGTGGCTGTAGCTTCCCTCTTCCAGGTCTTCATCTCTCGGGGCTTTGGTTTCATCTCCCCTCCGCAGTACACTTTTATTTAGGAGAGGGAAACTAGTTCAGGTGCGGGCTGGAGCGTTCCTATGAGTCTGGGGTGTACAGGATTCTCAGCACTACAGGCATGGGAACTGGGGGGTTTCGCTGTACGATCTTTTTTTGTTTCGTGTTTGAGCTGTAGGGTTTGTTGTTTCCAGTGGCTTTTAAAAGCAGTGTGTATGTATACACGGAAATCTTCAGGAACTGCATACACAACTACAAGTCTTCAGTTTTCACTTGCCAAAACATCTAGTAAACTCCTATCTGAAACATCTTCAGTACCGTAAAGGGTCCTAGAGCATTCAGCTGTGTCTTGGTGGTTCTGTAATGATTTGACATTGAGCTTGATGTTAGTGACAGTTGGTGTCAGGGTAGCATCCTGGTTGGAGTCCCCCTCTGCCAAAAGTTGTATGGCCTCATTCAGATTGCTTCTGAGGGGTTGTGGGTTGTGATTCTGCTGCTGAAGCCATGGGTGAATGTGAATGTGTAGGCCCGTTGCTGAGGGAAAGGTATTTCTTAGTGCAGGCTTAAATTCTAACAAGGTAAGGGGGGTCATTGCATGGCAGTGGGAACTGGCTCTGACTTGCGTGAAGAAGTAAATTCTGCTTCCTCTGAAGTGTTTATACCCTTTTTTCTTCTGGTGAAGAGACAACTAAATGGTTTTATTGTTTTGTCCAAAGTTTCAAAGGGTGTGAAAGATAAAAAAGATTAAAAAGGAAAGCATCTTTGTAATGGAAACTTACTAGGCCTGCTGTGCTCTAGCTAGCCATAAGTGACATGTTCATACTGTGAGAAAGCTCAACAGTTATGTGGTCTGTTCAGTTACTGCAGCATCTTATACTGGGTCAATATTTGGGATTTGGGTGCCTTAAAGTGGAGAAGAGGGAGTATTGTAGGGTACAAGGCAAGTAGAGGAAAGTGAGAGGAAGTGGTGGGGGCAGAGGAGTGGCTGGAGAACAGAAGTCATTGAGAAATTTCATTACTTTGACTTTGCCCTTCACAAACTTTTGTGTTTGTTGTCTTTCGTTTTTGTTTTAAGGCTGCAGAACTTCGAGCTTACCTGAAATCCAAAGGAGCAGAAATCTCTGAAGAAAATGCTGAAGGTGGACTTCATGTGGACTTGGCACAGATCATTGAATATTGTGATGTGTGCCTGAAAGAAGATGACAAAGGTTTGCATCATTAATTCTTGCTGGTTTTGCTAAACACAGTGCCATCAGTGCTTTCAAACAGTAATGGTTGGCAGAATTTAGAGGTATGTTGCCTGCCTTGCATGTTAACACATGCATCTTTATAAAACTGGAAGTGCTTATTTCATCATTACCATGTAAAATTTGCATGAGCGCTACCCCTCCCTTTCCGAACATCCAGCACCCTTTGAAGGAGTCAGGAATCAAGCTAGACTCTGCTTGTTATGGGGGCACATGGAGTTGTGTGTAAAACAGGTTTTGTCTCTGGAAAAAAAAAAAAAGCATAATAAAACCAAGATTTGCTGTCAGTTAATGGCTGTGATGCTGCAGATCAAGAAACAATAAAATAACAACAAAAATCAGGACTAGGCACATGTAAGTAGAAATTTTAAGGCTCAACCATTGATAAACAGGGAGACCTTATAGCAGCTTTCCAGTGCATGAAGGGGCCGATAAGAAAGTTGGAGAGGGGCGCTTTACGAGGGCATGCAGGAATGGGATAAGGGGAATGGCTTTAAACTGTCAAGAGGGGAGATTGAGATTAGGTATTAGGAAGAAGTTCTCTACTGTGAGGATGGAGAGGCCCTGACACACGTTGTTCAGAGATGTGGCTGCCCCATCCCTGGCAGTGTTCATGGTCAGGTTGGACAGGGCTTGGAGCAACCTGGTCTAGTGGAAGGTGTCCCTGCCCATGGCAGGGGGTTGGAACTGCTTTAGGGTCCCTTCCAACCCAAACTGTTCTATGTATATTGTCTGAAAACATTAGGATTTTCAGTAGTCAGTAAGTGTTATCGAGTTAGGGCTGTAGCTCCTTAGAAATTGTACCAGTGTGTTTTAATGACACAGATAATGCTGCAGTAGCCTTAAATGTGTATGCTTGCTGTGCTCTGTACCAATATGCTTGTTCCATTTAGAACTTTTTTTACATGTAAAAAAAATCAACAGCTGATAGGAATAACATGTTGTTTGAAAGAACGCTTGTTTCATCTAAGGAGTACTTAAAACTATTTTTTATGTTGCCTTTACTGTAGGCAAATTAATATGAGATGCTAGAGAAGCTATTGCTCTGCTGTTTGATGGCCAGGTGTCATTTCGGGGAAATAACAGTATTTTCCATATGTAAGGAATTTTGTTCTTATCCTTTCTGTAACTGATATTTGGGCAGACTGTGGAAAGAAAACTCAAACCTGCCTGGTCCTGTTTGGAAGGGATAGAACACCATGCTTAAAACAGGAGCTGCGGGGGAGGGGGCTTTTGAATATACTTTGTTCTTGCAGGCGTTTTCCCTGTGGTCTGGGTATCTCTTGTGCTCCTTGTACGTGGGTATATCCTTGTGAAACATTTTACTGTATTTGAGCATTAGTTGTTAGTATTCTCTGTAGAACCGTGCAGCAGTTTTCTTGAAGCTGCGGTTTAAGACCAAAACCTGAAGTTCCTCTGACTTCTCTTATGTGCGAACAGAGAATTCAGAGCAGGATACCCGATACCAATTTCTGCTTTGACCTCAGAGTAGTAATTCTTGCTTTACATGGAGATATGTTGGTGAAAGACTACATGAACCAAATCTCTGGTACATTCTGATGAATATCCATGTTGGTTGTCTTGGCCTTTCCTTTCTTTTACAGTTCTCGCCAATGCCAAATAATCATTCATAGGAGAAGTACCTCTCAGCACTGAATAGCTACTGATGAATGCTGCTTGCTGTTTTAAACAGCTGCCTGTTTTGTTTTGCACAGATGTTGAGAGTGTGATGAACAGTGTAGTCTCTTTGCTGCTTATCCTGGAACCTGACAAACAAGAAGCACTGATTGAAAACCTGTGTGAGAAGTTAGTAAAATTTCGGGAAGGAGAGCGCCCATCTCTTAGATTGCAGCTGTAAGTATTGTGCAGAGGAAAGCAAGGCAATGGTATCTTGCAGAGATACTAGAGAGCTTGTATGTCTTTAAATCAAAGTTTCTCTGTTGAAGGAAGCACTTTTTGGTTTTTTTACCTTCACCTTAATAAAAACATCTGTGTGCACCCTAGTAATGTTTTTGGAAAGCTCTTTAACTCAGTTGTTCATTTTTTGTGGTTTAGGCTGAGCAATCTCTTCCATGGTATGGATAAGAACACTCCTGTGAGATACACTGTGTACTGCAGCCTTCTTAAAGTAGCCTCATCATGTGGTGCCATCCAGTACATTCCAACTGAACTAGATCAGGTAATTAATGTGGCGCTTCAAGTTACGGCCTTTGCATTGACCGTGTTGCATCTCACTAAATATTAGTAAGAGTTGATACAGACCGTCGCAGTTATAAATTGCCAGAGCTTTGTGAAATGAAAAATGCAGGCTACAGAATTTCTTATCTTTTAAAAGATATTTCTTATTTAAAAATAGTCTGCAGAATCTAAATCAAGTTGTCATTTATTTTCTGTTTCTGATGCTGAATGTGGTTAGATGTATCAGTTTGATTCCTGTGATAGTAATGAAAGTGAGAAGCTTTGATCAGGAGTGAGGCATCAAGTTCTCATCCGTTGCTCTGGAATCAGAGTGTATTAAAATCACTTATCTTTACTTAGGAAGTAACATGGAGAGCATAGGTGTCTGGCTTCTCATGGGAAAACTTCCAGGCTCTGCATGGAGAGTCAGAAGACCCAAATGAGAAATCCCGATGCAAGACCTCAATCCTTTTCTGCTTGATAGGAAATGAGAAATATTTTCAGGGTTATTTTAGTCTTTTCCCCAGTGCTTCTTTTTCACTTTGTATTCTACCTAGGTCCGAAAATGGATTTCTGACTGGAATCTTGGCACCGAGAAAAAGCATACTCTCCTGAGACTGCTGTATGATGTCCTGGTAGACTGCAAAAAAAGGTATGAAAGATGTGATAAGATACTAGACCACTGTATTTTAAAGTTGATGCATTGTAAGTGATCTGTAAGGAAAGTATTTCTCATGGTACTTTTAAAATTCAGCTGCACTGATTGTCCAAAT